CAACAGCCTCTCCTCCATATTTCAGATCTGGATTCTGATTGCAAACTTCACACAGAGAAGCTCAAAGGGCCTTTAAAGGCTGCTGCTTTTCGTGTTTTCTAAGGGGGCTTTATTCTCATTGATAACAAAAAATTAAGAGTGCTGCAGAGATCAGAAAAGCGCACTGTAGGCCTCTTTCTTTTCAAGGCATTTCCTTTAGACCCCTTCTAGCTGGGCACTCCCTGTAGACAGGAAATTCTCCTGGAGTCGCTCCAGACCACAGCCTCCTTTTCCTCCTTTTTTCCCGGTTTTAGTCAAAAAAAACTTGGAATGAGGCTACAGTCTGTCCCCACCTTCGACCTGCATGTAAACAAACAACCCCGCCTGTTCCAGAAATCCCTCCAGCTAATCAGCTCATGCAAAATGTTCTCACGTGAGATTCCTGCAGCATGCCTGTAAAGCTGCAACCAACAAGAGATGATACATGAGATTAAACGTAAAAAAAAAAAGAAAAATCCCACAAACAGAAATGTGCTTCTTTTCACATCACGTTCAAAAAACAAGACTTGAGTTTCCCAGAATGAGAGCCACCCACAGTTCAATGAATGTGCAGAAAACATATCCCACAGTGCCATTTTCCCACTGGGACAAACAACCTTCTGTGTGGTTTCACACACCATTCTTGATTACCCAGCATCAGCAAGTTCACAACCGAAAAAAAATATGTACACAAGAAGAAATGAAGTTGACTCTTCTTTCCCGTAAATCAAATTGATATGGCACTCAGACAGCGTCTATCTCTCAACTCAATTCCATTCAGTCAAATTCAATTCCTTGGCCTGATTACATTCAGGAACAAATACTCAACTTTAAACTTGTAGCGGCTGCATCATTTCTCAGAATGTCGGGAATTGTTTTTACCGTTGAAACATTTTTAGTAACTTTTATCGTCTTCACATGAGTTCTTATCATAAAAAGGAACTGGGTCATCAAACTTAGGGTGCTATACTTAAACTAGAGATAAGGTAACAGGTGGTGTAATTAGCTTGTTGGTTTTCACACCATTTCCTCAACACTTCTCGTATCTGGGTTATTGTGTCAACTGTAGCAGGGGTTCCTTCAATTTTTATATTACTGCAGCAGACAGGGAAGTTATTTAAATTAAACAAATTTAAACAAATTTACACAAAAGTAAACATGCATTCTGCAGACATGTACTTTCTCCAATTTTTATTAGCTGGCAAAAAGTTCTGTTGCATAAGAGTATTTTTTTGTAAAGCTCTTTAAAGTGGATTTTTTTTTTAGCAGGAATTTGTATGGAAGCGATTTTCAAACCTGCACAATATTAAAGTGTCCTGAGTTATATTGCTTTCCACTATCTCAACCTCACTCTCTCCATCTTGTTTACACACAATACTGAGATGCTGTGATAGACTGTAAAGTTTGTATTTGCATGGTTATATGAGCATGAGAGCTGAGAGCAAAGAGAGATATATAAGAAGGAGGGAGATAGCGGAATGGGGGGGGTTAGTGAAAGGCTTTGTTGTGGCTCTTTTTTAAACTCCCCTTCTCAGAAATCCTGCCCCGAGGATACGTTCAAGTGTCCCTCTGCAGAGCAGCAGATTCCTTGAGCGATTCAAGCAGGATTTGTTCTTCCAGGAAAAAAAAACAATGCGTCTGTCAACAGAGCACCTGAGGTGAATGTGAGCCTTAAATCACAGCAATAAACAGAATCTTAAAAGATTGTGGAGGAGAAGTTCAACTTGGCTCCTGTCTGTCTGTGGTTCTTTTGTTTGTGCAGAAAAATGACAGGAGTGCTTTTTTTCTGACAGCTCGTCTTTTTGTCATTGCCTAAGAATTATGACAACTCACATGATTGACAGCCTACGTAACCCCAGAACATGAATTTCTGAGCTCCACCCTTTTATTTTTGCATAAACTTGTATGCAAAACTGAAAACCAAGAAAACCTGTCGAAGCAAATTCTGTGCAGCGGTGAACTGGTTTGCACCCGGCTGCGTTGATCTTAGATATGCGTGACAGTGTTTGTGTGTAACATTCTTGAAACCCTACCAGAAAGGGCCCTCCTCATGCCATCTGAGGTCAGGTCCAGACACCATGGGGTGGACCCTTCTCTCACCGCGGTGGGCTGAGGGGCAGGGGGAGGCTTTCAGCGCTTCTGGGAAACAGTCTGGGCCTAATTGGAGCCTGACTGGCCTCACATGTCTCCACTTACTGGAGGAGACGGAGGATCCCGCCGCCTGGCCTATGAGAGCTGCTGTAGACCCAGGCCTTTCCCTCCTCATCAGCATAACCACAGAGGAGAGAATTCACAAAGCTGGCCTGACTTGACAGAATGACTGAGTACTGTGGTCTGCTGTGTTTTCAGGTAGGCAGTACTGAGCTGTTCCACAAAATATTTGACCTTGATAAACCTCCTCTGTACAGTTTGTTCCAAGGATCTACTTTCTGTACAGTACATGAACCCTCCCCCTTTTGTTCCCTTCCACTGTACAGCATATCATGTTCACATTCTGACACACAAACCTTGACTTCACCAGAAAGGCGTAGTGAGAAGCATGAGAAGTGAAGAGCAGCACACACTGTTACTGTTTCACCTCAACCACCACACATCACATTCTCAACTCTTTTTTTTTTTTTTTCTTCACTCGCTGTGGCAACGCGCCTCTCCATTTCCCATCATTCACGGTCACCTCCTTGGCCTTGCTCAGTAAATCTCAAAAAAAGGACATTATCATCCTGCCGTGTAAATATTGTTTGACTCCAGTTGTGCAGAAAGGATTGTGTGCAATCTCTCATCTACTTTGTTTTCTCAACAAAACTCAAATATCACAGTGCACAATGCAAGGCAGGAATCATGTTTAGCTAACATTTTACCCTTATGTTTTTTCAATTCACATCTGGAAGACATTTTTCATAATTTGCACCCATATTCCCGTCTACATGATGCATGTTGTGGCTCAGAAGAATATAATAAAGGAAAGCACCTTATCATTTCACCATGACTTTGGGCATAATTTACTGATTTTTCATCTTTCCCAGATTAAAGGGCTTTTGAAATCTCGTTGGTCTTCTTGCATTTGGCTGCTCAAATAAACACGTTTCAACTTGTATAAAGTCAGGTATTCAGAAGCCCTGGGACAGAATGGTAGGTTTTACTGCATCACTGTACTTACTGTTACCTGCTTTGGCCGCTGGAACCTCACTCATACATGTGGCAGAGCTGTGTGGCAGTTTGTGTGCACTGAGGTTCAGGCTAAAAGTGTTTCTGCAAATTAAATGTGAACCTGAACTTCTCATTTTCTACAAGTTAAATCGTAAAAGGAGCACTTTAGCAAATTTGGGTTGAGTGTTGCTATTTCTGTTTAGATTAGAGTTCATGTGAGGAGGTTTGAAACAGGCTGAAATGAATAGTAATTCCTCTGAAAGACCTACAAATACAAACAAGAGCAACAAGACTGACTATATTCAAAAGCTGTAAGTGTTGCCGTGGGATAGGTGTCAGACAAGACGATTTACAGCATGCTGCAAGAAACAGCCTTTGTTTCATTCTCCAAAGCAAATGTTCACAATGACTGATACGCTTGACTGTTAGAAGAAAGCAGGATGAGTTTTGTTTTGTCAGAAAACATTACCTATACTGTACATGTACAGGACAAGATCAGCAAAGAAATAAGCTGTACCTTTGGTTTGTGTCGATTGTGGCGCCCCCCTATGTACAAGGGACATAGGGGGGCGCCACAATCGACACAAACCAAAGGTTCCTCACAGGAGCTGTAATTTAAAAGTAAAGCTGAATGAAACAAGAATGTTTAAAATGTAAGCCAGTGCTGCAACCTAATCAGTCCCTCATGTGTTATTATTATAAATAGGCCTTTATAGGCTCAGTTGGCAGAGTCGTTGCCTCTCAACCGGAAGGTCGAGGGTTCGATCCCCAGCTGGGCAACATGTCCGACGTGTCCTTGGGCAAGACACTTAACCCTGAATTGCTCCTGCTGCTTCTGTGGTGGTGTATGAATGTGATTAGTTACTTCTGATGGATGATATTACATAGTGACCCAACCGTCGGTGTGTGACATGTGGTGTAAAAGTGCTTCGAGTAGTCGGAAGACTAGAAAAGCGCTATATAAGCTCAAATCCATTTACCATTTACCAATCCATTTATGACAACAATCAGTGTTTGTTTCATATTTCTTAAAGTGGTGTCTACTTATGTCTATATGGAACTAAAAGATGAAGGTAGAAATATGTTATCAACATCCTCACAAGCTTGAATAAAGGACAATATGTAATCATATAGTGATTTCATTCAGCCCATTTTTAAGTGTCAACATCAGGAGTCATTATCAGAAATCTAAAGATGGATGTAAATACACGCAATATTTCTGTCTTGGGTGTTGAAAACTGAAAATGTGCCCTGGTGTTTGAAGCCTGCCTTGTCCATTGAGAAAAAGTCATTTCTATTGATTGCTTTTCCAGGCATCATTTAATATGATACATATTCACTTGTAAATATCGACCTTTCCCCGCCGCCCCAACTGTTGTGCCATGAATACTTTCAAAGTGAGCTTGTGAAAAGGTATGAAACGTTCTAAAGCTGTAAATAAAGGTTGGATTTAAAACAGAATCAGGGCTCTTTTTTATGGATGGTAAATGTGGTTGGAATAAAGCAGACTTTGGAGTTTGTGTGCTCAGTTGAAACAAAGAGGGACTAATTGAATTTCAAGGCCGCCCTCCAGTGGAAGTAGTATTCAGTATTCATGGACATGAAGCCAACTGGCTTGACTTAACCTATTATTTTATTAGTGATTGATTTAGCAAGACTGTAATTCAGCTGTAATTAATAAGCAACATAAGAATGCACGCTTAATCTCCTCCTCTGCACTGCTGGTTTCCTTTCAGTCCTTATCATATACTGCCACCTGCTGGAGCAAAGCTGCTACTTCCACATGATTTCACAAATTGTTCACATGCAGTTCAGTAACAGACATTCAGAGCCAGTTTTGTGGCAAATTCGTCTTTATTTGAGCTTGATTAAATGGTAATGGTAGAAACCTCAAATCAAACATTATCAACTGAATAACAAAAGAAAATGGCACAACTAATAAGAAAACAAAATGAAGACAACATACCCACTATACATCTAAGTATGTACAACTTTGATAAATAAAGCAATACTGTCTAGAATTATGATTGTTTTGCATTTTTGCCTATTTCTCTAGGAACAGTGCGCTGAGAGGAGCAGCCGGGAGAAGAACCAGGAAGCAGGAGAGGCAGGGAGCGAGGAACATGATCAGGAGGCACACAGAAGAAAAGAGACGACAAAGGATATAAGTAGAAAAGACAACTGCTTGATGCAGACTCCAATGCATTTTTCAAAGTTGTACCTCGACACTGTTTTAGCCGTTTGATGAGTTCACACTTTACTGCATCAGCGTGACCAGTCCTGGCAGCTATTCTGCCCTCCATACAGCGCTACACAGTCCTCATACACCCAGTAGTTCTGTTTGTTTCACATCACACTTTGGATCCTGAGACGGGGGGGGGGGGGGGAACAGCCCATTCTGCTACACACATTGCTTCAATGAAAAACGTATTCATTGTGCTGCTTTAAAGCTTCTGAAACATGACATATATAACGCTTTATACATAACCTGAAACAGGAAGTACTGTACACGATCAATGAGGTTTGACTGGAGCCCAAAATGAAATATGATTTGTTTTACCAGTAAAAAGGTAACACTGTACAAAGAAGAACAAATATGTTAAAGGCAGGAAATAAAGATTGAATGTAGGGAAAATAAACTCTGAAAATGACTGTCACCAACCAGCAGCCTTTCTCATCACATTTCATCCAGAGCGCCAGGCACTGTGCAGCAGAAACTAACAATTCAGTTGCTCTCTGCGTGATGCAGTCATAGAAAGTGGTCTTGTGTTTAAGACGAGGCGAGAGCAAGAGACAAATGTAAGGGTAGAAAAGGGGGCCAAAAGTTGCTGCTTCTTTAGACATACTAAAAAAAAAAGCCTGGTTTGATAATCACACATCTCTTTAAAGGACTCTGATCCCCAGGATGCACCTCCAGGACAATCAGGAAATGAGCAGTGAGAGCCAGATCCATCACCGAGACTTTTTCCAGACAAAGCAGAGACCTCCTTCATCTGCAGCCGTGTGTCCCCACGGTGCAGCTTCACATTTACAAAAACAAAGTTCAGTGTGGGACACAGAAGAGGCTTTCATTCCTCACATGGCTGTCGTGTTATGATATATATCCAAGTCAACGTGGACATTGAAAGCTTTTAGATCTTTGTAACAATCTCCTGAGTGGCAACTTGATTTCAACAGAAAACCTTTTGTTCCTTTTTTGGTTTTTCTACTTTTCTATAAAATAGCTAACAGTTGGCAAAGCAGACCCTCCCCCCCCCTACAGATTTAGTTGCAAGAATTTGTTTTTTTTTTACAAAAGCACACAGACAAAAAAAAATCTCCAGAGGAATAAACAGTAAAGCTGTAAAAATAGACACGTACTACCCTAACATATTAAAGCACATAAGAAAAGGTCTTTTCTGTTCTTTCAGAAAGCGAGGAATATTTTGGTTGGGGTGCCACACTCGGTCAGACCTGCTGAGTTTTAACGATGTGTGCAATGGGGGACAGCATGAGTGTATGCATGTATGTGTGTTTTTAAAGCGTCTTCGGAAGAGATTTTGCCGAGTTACACAGCAAGAATCTCTTTTGACCTCGTAGAGAGAGAGAGACAGAGAGCACACACAAAGCTGAGAGAGAAACAGAGAGACATTCAGAGAGGAGGTTAGAGGGGGTTTTCACCCTGACTCTTATCTAGAGACCCCAGCATGCTTCCTGTTTTTCTGGCCTGTAAAAGTCCAAAAGCCAGGTCAAATTTGTATCCTAGAGAGAATCCCCTGGAGAGATCTCAACCGTGGCCTCTGCACAGGCCCAGACAGGGCGAGCAGATATCCGGAACCCCTCGCTCTGTCAAGTGCAACGTCTGGAGAGTCGAGCAGCTTTAGTGCCTCTTCATGGACGACACCCTCTTCTTCCTGGCTGCCAGCATCTCGTAGAAGGGATCCCTGCTGATGGCAGCTCTGTGGGCAGATGCAGAGGAAAATGTCAGGGGGCACTGGTCGCACTGGTTACAACGCTGTGGCACTTCTAAGTACCTCAGCAACACCTTAAATTAGCATGCGTCTTCACAGAAAGAGAGAGAGAGTTTTTGACTCTGTGCCTGTTTTTGTTGTAAATGTGTTTTTCTGAGGTCTATTCTAAGTCAATGGAAAAAAGATGGCTGTTCTCTGTATGCCTTAAATATAATGTCACAATAGACATCAATGTTACTTTTCATACCTGACAAAAATAACTGGTTGGGGTTGACGACTGCCCACACCTTCCCAACTCCTTACAACTGCTATGCATTGTATTTATGCATGTTTGCTGTTTGACATTTTATTGAAAGGTAAAATGCTCCCTCTCTTACCATAGCAGTCTAAAATGTGAATGTTCTTGAACAACCTTTTCTAATGCATAAAATACACTTTGACATGCTTGGAGTTTTTAAGCAATAATATGAAATACATGAGTGTCACAGGAAATAACAGAGTATTTTAAAGAGAGAATCTACTGAGTGACCCCCTTGAATGACAAGAAAGTGGGCAGTCACTCAACCTCAATGTTGCCCTGGTAACCGCGACTCAGTACTCCTCCAGTGTGGACCTTGCTTCTTGGGGTCATTCATCCCTAAACTAAGAGCGGTCCACTTGTGATTAGATTACCCAGGGTGCATTGTGATGAGCATGACCATTGAGAAGCATAATGATATAAGTGCTAACTGCAGCAGTCTCACTTAGTGCTATCTCTATCGTTTGTTTAGAACTAATCTTGGAATTCATGTGTTAAGTTGGAGCGTAAAAACAATCTGCAATGATAAACCTTAGCTTTATTTATTTATATTGTCTTTATTTTTTTGCTTAAGAACTGATCGACATTCAGCCATTTTTTTCCCTCCATTTTCTAAATCTAAAAGCTGTTGTATACTAAATGGATTGGCATCTAAAGCAGGAAAAAATTGTCATTAATAATTCTCAAGATACAACCATACAAACTCTGTAGAGATATACGATTCCATGGCAAAAACGTCCATTAGTCTGCTTTCAAGGCTCCAGAGACAGTTATTTCTACCTCCATGGGTTCAGTAGGTGTGTAAGATAGTAATAAGCCAAAATGTCATCAAGTATAAAATTAAATGAAAAAGGTTCAAGTTGCCCTTAAATTATGGGAGCTGTAGTTCTGACAATTTAGCATGATCATCACCCACTCCAAGGTTTGACAAAGAGTAATAATAGAAGGACTCTTAGCTTTAATTCAACAGGGATTATAACTTTTAAGGTGACAAACAAACCCTGTACCATATAACACCTAAAAAAAATAATTTACTTGATGCTGTTCATCCATTCATCTTTTTCCTCTGCAGTGGGGGCGGAGATCCGGTAGAAAGTGTGGTTACCCTCGACAACACGTCCGTCAGCCTCAGTCTTACATGCCTTTATCACCTGATCCTTGTTGTCAGGAATAAAAAGCTCAAAGCAATTCTGTGAAGCAAAAAGAGGATGGAGATTAGAAACGACAAAAAGGTAAATGTCTTCATGAAAAATATACTGTAGTATTTCAACAATATGATTGTGTCATTTAAGTCAATCTATGTATTTGACATCATTAAATGTTATTACATAACTGAGTTTAAATGTTCATAAATATAAATACCTGTCAAGCTAATTCCTAAATACCAGTACACCTCTGACTAGCTGTAATACCACAATGAACCAGTAGGGGGAGTTAAAACTTACAGGTTTCTTATCTTCCACCTCTTTGATGCTCAGGTTCTCCAGTGGGATGATTCCTCTTGGTTCTTTGTCCTGTACAAGTATAAAGAACATAAATAACAGGAGAAGATGGAGCTCCTTTTTCACCATAATTTATGGGTTTTTTTTAGCAGTACTCACTGTGGTGTACTCAAAGTAATACAGACAGTTGTCTGTGAGGATGAACCACCTCCTCTTCCAGGTTTTCACTCGTCCCCCTGAGGAGCAAAGAGCCAGTGTTAGAGAAACTTGGCAAGAGAAAGACAGAGAAACGAGGACCGAAGCTTCGGGTCGAGCAGCAGACAGGCAGACAGATGTACGGGCAGACAGACAGATGACGGCTCCAGAGGACTCCTGTTACCCAGAACATAATGATATTCACCTTTAACCACCAATGCACCATGCGCTCACCATCACCACAGCTGCAAAGCCCTTAGTAGTTTGTTTTTTTTACAGTATAACCCTAAATTGCATCTCCTGTTTTATGTGTCAATTCAAGGACTTTTAGCTAATTGCAGTCAATGTGAAGATGCTATACGATAAAGCTGCATGCCTCATTAAAATGTCTCGGTGTCTGGAAACTCTATAATCGCTGACTCAGAGTAATAAGCCTGGAAGGCCAGGATCGATAGACAGGATACAGATCTATGTGCTTTGCACTCACTGAATTTAATGAACTACCAAATGAAGTTACTAGAATACAGCTTTAAATGTGGAAAGAAAGTACTCCAATGAGTATCATAGGGCTGAAGGTGGAGAGGAGAGGGTGGCTGAGGATTAAGCTGTCTTACAAGGGATCGCTGGTTAACTCTGTGCTCACTGATCTGTAGCTGACCTCTCACCCCCTTTGTCACCCATACTTCCTGTGAGGGGTAACCTGATCACAGGAACAGATGGCAGCCTCGCTCTGGGAGGATGAGATGCCAACAAACAGGGGGGCGGGAGGCCTGGGGCTATGCTCAGCTTCTCTACAGGCATCTCAGACTTAAATTTCCTGTTTTGGCTTTGTTAAAAGACTTCTCAGTCATATGGAAGCAGCGTCCAGTGAGTACGGGAATGACATAAAGAGCTAAGCCTCGTCTAGACTTTAGGCTTAACCACCACCAATGTTAGTAAAAAGCTGTATGTTGAAACCCATCTACCAGGAGAGAGGAGGCTTTGAGGATACAGACACTTAGAACACACTTTCATTATCATATAACAGCACCAGCACTGTATATGATATCCCATCATATCACAGACATCATGATAGGTCAAACACTTCACTCTTTGCTTGTTGTAATCTACAGACGCCATCAAACCATGTCACTCGACAGGCAGAGATGTAGAGACCCTCTCCACATATCCACTCGTCAGTGTGCAGTGACAAAAAAGCAGACGAACAGAAAACACAAACGGAATGGCAGAATCACACGGCTGAGGGCTGGCCCGACAGTTGATTGGGTTGGTTGGAGGATTGTGCTTTAGTGGTCTTGTCAGTTCCTGTCTCTCCAAGAAATAGAGATGACCTCCTCCTGTGCAAGAATGTCTGGGACGAGGCAGGACGTCCCAGCAGATTGTTGCAGAGGTGTGCGGGCCGTGCTACAGCCGGAGTGGAGCTGAGTGGAGGGAGGCCTCCTTGCAAGAAGGGACTGTGGGAGGCTGGGCGAGTAGAGGTTTATTTTTAATACTGAATAACTCCTTGGGAATTAATGCCTTTTTTAACCATTATAAAAGGTTTTTAATTTTAATAGGAAAGGCATTAATGACTAGAACACACAGTCAAAACCATGTGTACTTTGAATAAATGTTCACATGCTTGATTTCCTTTTGGCACACTTGTCTGCCCACACCTCTCTCCCACAGTTTGGTCCAGTCCAGTTCAGCACCACACCCGGCTGCAGTCACTGTTACCCTTTAGATCCATAAACAGCAAAAGATAAAAAGTGCAGAGCCACAGTGTTGAAAAGGTGCATTATTCCCTTTCCATGTAACCAGAGAACAAACAAACATCAGCCAATGGCTAACTGGGTTCATGATCAAATTGGAGAGTTGAGCGAGCGAAAGTCCTTTGTTGTGCTCACTGTGTGGAAAAAGGGATAATGCAGCTTCCAAAACAATCAGAGATCAAAGAGAGTGACCACCACAGCATACAAAGAGTAGAGGGTCAAACTGCCCGGTAGAGTGGTCACAAAGCATCAGCTCCCCGAGCCGAGCCCACTAGGGTGGCAAACGAACTCGGTAACCACCCACAGAGATAAAAGAGTGTGGACAAACCACTAGCTCGATGACAGACTGAACAGACAAACATCTGAAGCTCAAATGAGTCGATGGAGAGATTTAAAAAAAAATCCACAGACAAAACAAATAAAGAAAAACCCCCTTTGAGAACCAATACAAAAAAAAAAAATGAAGAAAAGAACAAAAAGCATGGCGGACCACCAAAAGCACCTGAGAGCTGAGAGATGGACTAGCATTTGGGAAGAGCAGGTGTACATACCTCCTGAGGAAAGACAACAGCCAAAATCATGGGAACAAACAAACAAACGAAGAGGAAAAGAAAACAACAACAAAAATCAAATTAAATGATAAGGAATTATTACACCACAGTCCTTTTAATCTGCTTCCAGGGAGGATTTGATGCACTGCTTTACAGCTTTTTTTTAAAACCATTTTAAAGAACTCTTTATGTAATGACAGTTAACAGTTTCACCCAGCTGCTGTTATTCTATCATTCCACAAGGGGGAGTTCTACTCAAGACACAGCTACTGTAAAGCATTACATTAAATATCACCTCCACTTCGGTTACATCCATTTCTTTACCTTCCACCTTGATTGTTTTTACTCAGATCCTCCAATGTGAAGTCATTGGAGACAGAGTGATTCTGTAATACCTCACTGTAGTCCATTGTAAAGATTCACAGCGATTTGAGGAATCAATTTCACCTTAAAAGTCCAGGCTTTAAGTATTGAGTCATTGTGAATCAGTACAACAGAGAGAGAGATCTCAGAGAAAACAGAGAATAAAGCGTTCAGGGGTCCGGTGTTTTGGGTCTGTGAAATTACCGGCTGACCTACTGCAAAGGTTTGTCATGATACAGATGTGTGTGTATAGGGTGTTTGTGTCCACACACATGTTGAAGTGAGAAATTAGCAACTGGTCAGAATAAAGAGACACTTAAAAAAACACTGGTTCAATTTAATTAGGGAAAAAAATTATCTGTGAAAAGGTGGACTTCAAAATTTTCTAAAATACTTCACAGTTCAAAGAGAAAAAGTGCCAGCTCCAATAAATACTACTTCTAAACTTTATGAACACTATCCTGGTGTATCAGCTCGATCAGTATTTGTTGCTGTGAGTGTATGAATATGAACTGTCTTAAATAATTCAAAGGCGTCCACATGTGACGGTCTGATCTCCAGGCTTCATTAAAAATACATTAAAGCAGACAGAGATGTCTTCACATATCCTGGTGTGAGTGTGTACACACACCTATCCTGAGACTATAACACACTCACAAATGCACATACACATCAAAGGTTTATTGACCCTGGGGGAGAAATAGGTTATCACTTCGTGGAAGTTGACGACACAAACACATAAGTCATCTATCGGCACTTTGCCACATCGAGGAGTCGCACGTGTGTCCGGGGTCACTCACCCAGTTTCAGCAGCCAGCCCTCTCTGTCCGGGTTGAAGAAAGTGTGCGTTAGATCATTGCCGTCGTCCTCTGGGATTTTGAAAGGCTCATTCTTGATGCTGTCATACAGATTCTATGACAAATAAGTGTACACAGAGCAGGTTTGAGATGAGAAACCACTCACAAGGAGGGGAATAAGAGTAACACTGTAAGTTTTAAAGCTGTATTAACCCTGAGCAGGTCTTCAGGTAAGTCTCCTCCATCATTGATTCCTCTGTTCATGGAGATGAATCGCTCCACGGTAGGCTTGTCCTTCACGTTAGGGTTGTGGAGGCTGGTGTTCAGCATGATGATGGCAAATGATAAGATGTAACAGGTGTCTGAAACACACACACACACACACACACACACAACAAGTGGTGATCACACTGGAAGAGAGAGATGAGCTTTGTGAGACAACAAAAGGTTGCTGTTTGCCACAAATCTGCTGCCAGTTTTTAATGTAGTGTTTAAATATGAATGTAAATTAGCTGAGCTGAAAGGCCTGCACTTAGGGGACCACAGTCAAGCAGAAAGGAGAAGGCGAAGATTCGTTAGCGAGGAGAGTGGGTAGGAGTGAATGGCTGCGCGTGGGCAGCTGAGTGTTCGTCAACACGCACTCTACTGCGTGTGTGTTTGCTAAAAGACGACGTGGCGAGCACATGGCTGACACAGCAGCACTCTATCTGGTCTGTTAGGCTGTTGAGAAGCACCATGAATAATTTACATCCATCTGCATCCATGTTAACGGTAGTCATCTGTCTGCTATGGGCATAATTTCCCAAAAGCCAGACACTCATCACCTCAGCAGACTTTTTGTCTGCTAAATAAAGCCGTTTAGAGATGAGCTGCATTGACATGCCATTAGATATCAGTGCAACACAGAAAAGTGGGCGAAACTGGGAGCTGAAGTCCAGAAAAGTCGATTAAATAATTTCAAAGTTTTCAAAACTTTAATTTTTCTGATTGGGAAATTATATCTGACCTATAACATTCATTATTTAGACCTTATTTGTAATTAATTTGTAATTTTTGGCCAATAACAATAGAGTCATAATGCAAATCAAATCAGAAGTTTTATAACTTTCAATAAGTTCATATCTTGTTCTTCACTGGCGCACTCACACATGAAGAAATCTTTAGGTATTTTTTTTTTTTTAATGAATACTCTAAAAGTCGGGCTGTTATTAGACATGAAGGTTCTACCTGTGGACTGGAAAACTCCAGGGTTGCATGTGCAGTAGCGCTGAGCAAAGGCCTCCATCATGCGGTCGATCTTCTGAGCTTCTCCTGGAAGCCGAAAACTCCACAGGAACTGTCTGAAAGGAGACACAGGTGAGTAATCAGATTCAGCTTTATTGTAATTAAAAGCTAAATTATCACTCAGTAAGCTGCAGAATTAAACTGACAGCTGCAACTGTAAAGATATCAACTAAGAGGACTCTATAAAAATGGATGACTTCATATATGATTTAAATTAATAAAGGGAAGCAAAGCTATGAGGGTCCAGCAAAACACTTGCTGAGCTAGTTGCAGGCCTGCAAGGCTCTGTTCAGATGCTGTCTTACCGTAGGGCCTGAACCAGGTTGAGGTCTGTGAACTCATGAAGCTCCACAAAAGCGTGGAGCACTTGGAGATTTAATTCATCTCTACAGGAGAGAAAAAAGGAAAATGTTGTTTAAGAAAAGTCCAAATAAATCTAAAACATATAGTGCAGTCATTAATTATTTCATCATGCCACCCATTTTCAAGAATAATTAACAAATGCTTTTGTCTTTCACATGCCAAAAGAATACTTGTCAATCATACTTTTTATTACAAATTCATAGGTAGTTTCATTCATCCACCAGAGCCCAAAACCAAAACATTTTTCAATTTTTCATTATAAAGATAAAAAAAATGGCAAATATTCATAGTAGGAAGCAGGAAGCAGGTACTGTTTGTTTTCTTTAAAATTAAATTGAAAGAGTATTGGTACCAATGTCTCAGTGTAATCATACAACACTGTATGACTCCAAACAGTTTTAAGAGTACACACAAAGTCAAGAACCAAGAGATACCAATTTTTTTATGTTCATGTATTCCTCACTGCAACGCAACTACTGACAGTCCTCTGTTGCTTTTAAACAAGGGCTTTATTAAAAGACCATGACTTGTGTGACATCACTTGTGTCAATTCACCAGTATTGCTAAGCTCCTTAAAAAATCACAAAATACTTTCAGTAATACTTTCAACAACATGCTATTTTCGTGAAGTGGGCCCAATCAGACATTTATCTGAGGCCTCAGCCCATGGTGAGATTTTGCTCACATTGGCTAAAGAGGTCTAAGAAGGTCCGAAGAGACCCCCCCACCCCCATTCGTTTATCATCTGATCTTGATCATGACATCATTTCCAACCTTCCTGACCTTCAGAGTGAATGATCTGCCCTGTGGGATTGTGGGACAGCTCTAAGGAGATCTCGTTTACTGAGTCATATCTAGTCACCACATTTCCCAGTAGACGAGTGACCAATCGGATCTCAAGATCCCAGTGCTGCTCCGGCCCCTCCTTTCAGAATCAAAAACACTTGGAGAGATGATAACAATCACACTGAAAGCATCCATCAATGGCCAAAGCTCCATTTCCTGGTTTGACCTCACAGACCACACCCTGAGCGTAACTCTGCCCTATAGTCCCTGAGCAGTAAATACCATACATCAGATCCATTAGCATGTCCGGTGTTTTGTGTTGAGTCTTATAAGGATGGTCTTAGTTCTCAAGTGAAATTTGTTAATTTCAAACACGTGCATACTTGAGTTGTGAGTGTCTTGATCGTATTACTCATGAATGAGTATGATAATCAAAAACAGATGGAGGCTATTGAGTAAGGGACATCGTCTTCAGAAGATGGTCTAAATGTGGGACCAATAAAGTGTGTTTGAGAAAGGAAGGGCGTGTGCCTGACATAGAGGAAACACAGCAATACGGAAAATATGCACACACTCTACGATGCTTTTATCAACCACTAGAATGGGTGTTGGTGAAAGATAATAAAGAGAATGAGAGGGAGAATGAGAGGGAGATAGAGGGAAATACCAATTACTCTATCTTAATACTGACCTCTCTCCGAGGTAATCTCCAATGGCTGTTTTGTTGAGGCCTTCACCCTTGTAGAGGAATTGAGCAATGTCGTCGCTGGTATTCTTCAGCAAGTCATTCATGATCAGGAACTGGATCCCCTGAGAAAATGACACATCCCCAAGTTATGCACTGCTTATGAGAACATGTGGGACAAATCATATTTCTGAGGCATCAACACAAGTTTTTTTCTACCTACCTTTTTGGGGTCCATGTTAAATTTCTTTCGGCCCATGGCCACCTGTTTATTCCTCTGCATATTTTTCCTGAAACATCAAAATGTAGGTCATGGTTAGCTGTGATTTATGTGTAAATAAATAGGGTTGTACATGAAACAACTTCTGGAGTACATGTAAAAGGACTACAAAAACAAAAGTTTGTATGTATTGTTTTCATAAGTAGAACATTTTCTGGATTAATTGATTGAGCATTTGTTCAATAAAATGTCACAAAATAAAAAGAATCAAATTAGACAATCTCAGGAAACCAGAAAATGTCAATGTTTGAGAAGCTTAAACTAGCTGCTGTTGTTGTTTTTAGCATTTTGGATAAATGACTTTAAAATGCATCTCTTCTCTCTTCTTTCGACAAGGCTCAATACATGTATGCACTTAATTTCCTGAAAGCGTCTTTCCCATTAACATTTTCCATTTGTTCGGCGGAGGCTGGCCTTTCCTCCCCTTCTACAGCCATGACAAAGCATTGATAAAGAGCTTAACATCATGCATATGGGAACATCTAATTTCTCAGGCCTTGAGTTATTCAGGGGCCAAAGTGCAATCCAAATGTCCACCGTCACCATGGTAACATCTGCATCCCCAGCCAGTGAGAGGTCACCACTTCTTCCCACTGATTTACACACACCAGCATTCCTTCTGCCTTTGTCTGCCAAAGTCTGACACTCAACTCTCTGAGGAGCTCAAAACACACCATCAGATACTTTCTTCCATGATCACAGTAAACTTTGATCTCGAGAAGGTGCTGCGACCCTTAATGGGTTTGAGATCCAGGAGAAAGTGCTTTAGGATTATTTGCTAGCTGATGGGATCCCTATCCACTTGAGTAGACCAAACCCAAGCACTTGTCCTCTGGGACCATCCATTGTCTGCTTCTGCCCGTACACCCACTGCATTATTCAATGAGGCCGCCCATCGTGGGGGTGTGCCTGATGAAACATTTAAACTGCCTTAAAAGCATACCCAATTTGGAGAGCATTTTTTTTGTTTGTGGGTGTGTGACGGGATGGTCTGAATCAGCCATCAAACATTAATAACTGACAGCTTCATTTGCTAAGTTAATAGAAGGCAAACAGCAGGCAAATTGAAGCAAAACAGACGGGGAATTTGATGCGTAGGAGAAAAGTGTTTGGTCCCTCTTTCTTACCTCTCCTCAGTGGAACCCAGGTTCTCGATCTCACTCGTCACCTCTGCGATCTCATCCTTCAGCCGCTGCAGAAAAAAGAAATGTTGGTGTTTAAATGTCAGAAGTATGATGTGACAATTAGTTCATCATTGACCTAGAAACAATGCAGACATACGGAGGTGTGAAAGGAGGGTGTGACCGACAAAAACAACTTGCAAATTACTTGTATAAAAACACACAAGAGCTTTTTTTGCTTGACAGTGCAGAGGGTGAGGCTATTACCTCTGTATTAACTCTGTTTGCCCGTAAGCCAGGTCATGTACAGTAAATACGCACATCAGAGCCATTCATTCCATAAAGAGAAGAGAGACACTTATGGCTGCTGATGAGCTAAAACTTTCCACACTCATACACATCCAGTTCTCAGTCCTTCAGCCTAAAAACAGATCACTAGAACCATCTATGTCTCACATCAGTTAATGTTGTTTGCATGTCTGTGCTCTCCTTTAAAATCCTCTAAGGCTGAATTTGATTAGGCAGAGAATATTCAGGGATAACCTCAATACAAATGGAGTAGGAAAGCATAAAAGTGGATTATATTTCATGTGGCTTTATAGTGATTAATGGCCTTAAGAGGCAGATTTAGTTGATCAAGCCAGGCCTGCTGGTGCCAGACTGGCGCAGTTAGGGCACTGCAGAAGGTAGAGGATGGAGATAGTGACGTCGGTGTGATGACAGTGTGGAATAATGGACTGTTGAATATGCGAAGGCTTGTACACAGACAGAACAGACTTTTGACAATGAGAGACTTAAAGGGTTATAATTATGGATCCTCTCAATTCATATCTAGTGTATAATTCCTTATGCATTATACCAACTCACTATAGGCCAAATCACAAAGGGAACATCTGTGTTTTCAAGGCCTGCGCAATCACAACACATTCCTTGGATGCTTGCGTCCACAAACAAAGACTGTGCTCATACAGGAAAGCGAGTGGTTGTGGTCGTGGGCCTTGACATGCGGGATCAGCAGAGGAGGGTGTGGGAGTTGGCAAGAAGAGGAGTCAGTGTGATGGCCACAGAGGAGGAGAGGACAGGGGGCAGGGTGGGGGAGGGACTGTGATGGTGGCCCACACTCAAAAGATAGGGTGTCAGGTCACACCTCCAATATTTGTCTTGAGGCAAGCTCTCCTTGCAAACACAGGACAATCTTTCACCCCTGTGTGTCGTTTGCTTACACGGCTGGTTATTGAGTGTCAGGCTGACCTGAGCAGATCGTACTGATAATCGGCTCTGCTATAAGGTGAAAACATTGTCATAGGCCATGGACAGGAATCAAACAAACCACTTTAGGGAAATTCGGCCGAGCTGATTTGAATCCTGGCTCTCTTTGGAAAGAGCGTACAGATAGTACATCAGGGATATTTCATAAGTACATTCCTCATAAGAGCATAATCCTGCTTTGTCTGTCTGCTGCTGGATCATTCACTAGATTTATTTTTATACACATGCTGTATTTATTTGAATGCTATTTAGTTAAATGACAGAAAAAGATAACTTGTATCCATGAATAGAGGTCTGTGTTGACATACTTCCTCTACATCACAGCTTAACCATCAACAGAAATGGTTTGCTAAGGAAGTGAGCTCTTGGCAGGAAATACCTCACATTCCACCTAGGGTCAAATGTTTGAAAGACTCCTTGCAAAAGAGAAACTGGATAGAAGGTAAATATTTGATCAAAAAGCCAAGGAGCAGCAGATTTTGCTGAAGGCAGTGTAAGTGGGCCAAATGTCTGTATGATGGAGGTCAAGGAATTAAGACCCTATAGCTCCTTGAGCGTCATTTTAATAGGTGGATCACTGGAATTTTATTTTTATTTGGCCAACTGTGGTATAGAGTTTAATAGTGACCCAGATGCACAATTCACATTAAATATACTTTTAGAGTCAAACATATTTAAAGCATTTTAAAATAAAAAAAAGCAATTCTCATTGAAAACTTCAAACAACTCAAACATTATCTGGAAATTGTGTTATTGTCTCACTTTTTTCGACAGAAGAGTAAAACTGAAATGAAAGTGAATAAGATTGAGATGGACGTTCACTGCTTTAATTTCCAAGAATTACAGGCTTGTTTTTTTTAAGAGTATCAACTTTCTCCATGTAAAACAATTAACCTAACAACAGCCCTAAAATCTATTTCAATATTACCTGGATGTCCTCGATCAGCTCCTGCTTGCGCAGGCGGATATTCTCCAGCTCCTGCTGCTCCTCTGGGGTGAGGTCGTCCGGTACTGTAAAGAGATGAGAGAGAGAAGATGAAGGGTTAGGACATAGTTGCCCAAAATATAACGCAGCTTTATCCTTTTCTATGCATATCTCTCCCCTGAGGCATGTCCCTGAAGGCATCCCTATATCAGACATATATTTGCCTTCATTTCAAAAGGTTATTGAATGCACAAGGAAAGTATGCCCCATATAACATTCAATGAAAGTTATTAAGGATATTTCTTGGGGGCGAATCAGACAGTCAACAAAAAATCTCACAAAAATCCACACCAACAAAGGCCAAAGCAACCAGGTGCCCTTTGAAGAGGGTTTAATTTTGTGTGTAATCGAGCCACTTAAATGAAACAGCCTAAGTCAGCCAAGCAGCACTGAGCATCAGTACCAGAGAGGCACAAACGTGACAGGTCTCACAGCGCTGCCAGTCCTCCTGTCACTCTCACTAAAGGCTGTTATAATTAGCTTCATTTGTGTCAGGGACTGAAAGAAAGGCAATGAGTCCTACTAGATGGACAATGTGTTTGCGTGTCTGTGTGAGCGCAAACGCTACTTGCACTCCAAGCATAAAAAAGGGACACAGTGAGTATCAGCACTCTAAGAGCAGGCCAAGCACAATCCCTGTTAAATCCACATAAGCAATGCCCTTAAAGGACATTTACTTTCTTCTCAATACAGAGTCAGCCTGTGATTGAAGCCCAACTTCACTTTAAAAGAGGGCAAATAATCACTTTCTAAATTCCAATCTCTTTGATTAGCACGGAAATGTCAAAGGATATGATCAAAATGCATCTTCCTGTGCATCTATTTCAACATTGATGATGCTGTAGGGGATTGATTTCATCAATGTTTCAATGATGCCTAAGAAAACTTGTTTTTTACTCGGTATAGAAATACATGATCCAGCGTGCAACATGTGTGATCTAATCTAGTTCACGTAGTATGACACTCCAAGCGACGTTGTCATAAGGAAAGATACAAATCATTAGTTCACGCAAATTTCATTCAGATAGAAAGAGTGGCAATCAAAGTCTCTCATCATTTAAAGCGTCCTTAGCTGAGCAAGTCACATCGGTTCTAAGATCATTTAGCCTCTTTTCAATGATTCGCCCAGTGGCCAAGCAGAAGCCCCCTTCTGTGACCTCCCCTCATCAGGCTGTGCTTGTGTTCGCAAACGGTTAACAAGGTAATGGTTAAAGGGTGGTGGAAGATGAGGACAGAGGAATCTTTGACACAAGGTTGTTAATTATCCACTCCACAACTCTCCATCTGCACACAAGTGACTTGAACGAGCATTCTTTCTCTGATATTTGTCAACGCTCTTATGTAACAACATTGATTTCATTTTCGTTTCACATGATTCCCAGAGACTACATAGGTGGAAATTCATAACGAGATCTGTTTTCATATGAATTCAGGATGAACACAGCATTTATTTGGACACATTGGCAATGTAAACGAAAGAGTTAAAGCAGTATACAGTCGAGAAGAAAGAGTACAAAGAAACTGAACTCCAAGCAGCATCATTAAAGTCATCAACACACCCACTCTTTGTCTATGAAGGCTCTGGACAATTATCTGCTCAATTGCACATCACGCAGGTATTGTTAAAGGCAGTTTGCAAGGTAAAGTCTGTTTATGATAAGGCTTTTTTAATTCAGAAATACTCATTCTAACATGTAGCTTCTAGCTCTGGAGTGCAGTGCATGTAGGAAAGGTGATTAGGTGTGAGTGTTTAACTGTGGACACAGTGTACCTGCATTAAGAGGTCAGGGGAATGAAGGTTAAAACAATAAATCTGGAACAGCAATCAATAAAGCAAGGACGAGGCAAGCCATCCAAGAAATTAGAGAGGCAAATACACACAGTAAATATACTTTTTAAGAAGAGTTACTCCAAATGGAGAACCCTAAAATAATGACTTATAGAAATGAATACTGCATATTGGAGAGTGCGCTTATTTTAATAACAGAGGGTACGCTAACCTAAACATCTTGAGGCAATACCCATGACACTGACTGGAATGTCTGTTAATGCTTAACAGGGATAATAGACAAAGGAAGTCCAAAACAAGAGAGTTACAAAACAAAACCCTGTTGTCTTTCTGTCTTGTTTTCCGACGGCTGGGGGAGCACCACAGTCCACTCTAGGTTGACCTTTCACACATTATACCTTACAGCTTACAGCATCCCTGGCTAAGCAGCTACTGTACATCCATCCAAAGTGTTCAGGGTATCCATGAAACCAAAGTCAGATATGTACAACTTTTCATGTTTACCAAGGGAGGATAGTTGGATGGTTGGATAGTCCCTCAAGAACAGCTACTATCAGGGAAGCAATGATATTTTGATTTTGAAAATAGAGATGACGTCAGAGCTGAATGAACACAAGCAGAAAACAAAGTACTGACAGGTCAGATAATGGATGTGTCTTCTTGCATTTAATAGCAATGTCCCCCAGTGGAGTGGACGAGTTCATGTCACACTGAGAAACCACAGAGCAGGCTGCATTTAAGAGAAAAATAAAAGAGGAGACAAGGAGAACGAGCTTGGAGCAGAAAGACCATTATTCTTTCTGTAATATGATGTCAGGTTGGGTGGCTGGTGGACGCCAGAGGCCCCACACAATAACAGGAGAGCAGAAGAAACAACAAAACCACAGAATTCCTGGCTTAGAGGAGGAATACAAAGTGACGGTGAGCTGCAGAGAAGGACTATACCTTCACACAGAGGAGGAGGAGGCACAAAGAGCAGATTGGAAATCATCCAATGTCTTCTTTAAGAATACACCAAAGGAGCTTATAGAAAATCAGTATCTCAGCCCATCATCAGGGCAGATGCATGATGACAACCAGGTCCTTCAAATACAGGGCAGGGAAGAGGCCACTTCAACTGACGTCACCCCGATGATCAGACTCATCAAGGAGCCAATCAGGTACACACGTCACTGCCTTCCTGACTCCACCCATAGTGATCAAAACAAACCAGGGAAGGGAAAGGCCCCACCCATGCATGAGCAAAAGATGGACACCAAGTGGGTGTCATTTCCCAGAATACAGCAGATGAGAGGGGAAACCATCCACTTAAGTAAATGCTGAGAGCTGCTTGCCTCCCTTCGGCTTGGCAGCGCTGCTTGGCTGTCTTTCAGAAAAACCCCTGCACTGGTACGGCCAATGAAAAGAGACTGTCATCAGAACTGTCATCAGAAACAGACAGGAAATGAGAAAGACAGAAGGTAGAAAGGGTAAACGAGGTAAAGAAGGCGTGATGGAGGATACTGTGAACAAGCAAAGTCTCATTATCTTTTAAAACCCACTCACTGATAGTCTTCTATTGCTGATGCAATACTCCATGACATACAGTATTCATCAACTGCTCTGTCTATGTCTGACTTCAGGAGCATCTCAGAAGATTAGGACCCAAAAAGCAGCCTGATTTGGGCGTTCCTACAGTGATTTCCACAGACTGAAAGAGAAACACGGTCCGCCAACATCAGCATTCTTTTAGGGACTCATGCTGCTTAGAAAACAGGTCATTCAGGGGAATATTATGCACATAAAGGCATGCAGTCAGGCACACAGACTGTACACACACCCCTGACACCCACATGCTGACGCCCGATTGCCAACACATTACTGAGAGTCCCACTGCTTTGCTTTTTGTTTCAGATTTCAACACTAACAACATCTGATTGGAACTGTACAGAATGATAATCAGAGTGACTTAATTACATCACAGCAATGTTATCCCCAAGTAACTTAGTCTGTTCTCTTTTCAGAAGAGTAAAACCAAAGTCAGTACCACAAGAAAAAGACAGGAAACTTATAGCCATCTATAAAAAATGTCTAACATACAAAGCTTACTTGAAACTTAGCTTGACCCTTCCAATAAACTCAATTGAAAGTGTTATGCTAAAACGAAGGTTGGGCCGAACAAATCTGGATGCAAGCTGGTTGAAGGCAGATTGTGACAATTTCCCTGTTAAGGCACAGAGACACGCGCCCTTTTGCCAGATCTGGGACAGTATAATCTGAGCTTTGTCCTGCCTTGACCCTCATTACTATTGAGTGCTGTTTAACCCAAATGTATTACTCAAAACACTCATTTTGTTTCCCTTGAGTATAATCATAGTGCCCACTCCTGAACTGATGTAACCCTATCCTCCTCAACAACTGAAAAACTAAAGTTCCTTTATTATTTTCAACCTAACACGATGCATAATTTTAAGGCCATAGATATTTTAATATATTGTCTACAGAGTTTCTCGATGGGCAAAGCAGTTTTAAGTTAGGGCTGGGTCAGCGGAGAGAAACCGAGAGGTTACATCAAGGGAGATACCAATTATAGCTCCCTCTCCCACAGCGGCAGAGCCCACTATTACACATCCTGATTGCCATCCTGGCTGAAGAGGCAGACGTCTCATTTCCACCCAGATCACTGAAAAACTCTCTTTGGAAAAAAAAAAAGGAAATTAGAATTCCCTCCCTCCCTGCAGATGTGACCCAATTTAGTGAGGTCTATACTCAGTGCACAAGGACTCAAAATATCACATTAACTAAATAAGCTACTCCCCTAGGCTGCACCTACAACTATGGAGCCTGGACAGGTTCACAAGGTACACATAACTGTTAAGTTAGAGAGATTTCACCATTCATAGGATCAATTCAGTCTGCATCTAAAGTATATGTTGATGTTTTTAAAGGAAGTTTAGTAGAGGCTTTTTTCCTTTAAAATGTGGAGTCTTGGTCCTTCTCAGGGGTGGACGAAGACAACAATGAATATAATTACTCCACGAGGGGGCCTACGATCTGCTGACTGTGGAAATATGCAAAAAGATACACATCAATTTCTGCCGCCATGTGCCTCCACATGATTACACTTTGATGAAGTGCACATACTGATCAAGGCAAATGAATGACACTAGTAGCAGAAATTGCTCACTGCATGAGATCTTTCATCTGTTCTATGTCTACAGCTCTTTTCCTCCATGTCTCTGTCAGAACATCCATTTA